GCTTAATCCTATCCCCGCAAATAGGGGGTCATGCACCCTGATCCTAGCCTCCCCAAATTCTCTTCCTCGGAAAGCCTTTTCTTACTTTCCATACAAAAAGGAATTGACACCTCAAGGTTTATTTAGGAAGGGCGCTGCCTGCCGATCAGCGCCGCCGATTCGGACAACGCAGGCCATACGTTAAAGCTACACCGTTTTAGATTAGCGTGTGCAACCGACCATATCGCCATATAAGGAGAGATTCCATTTCGTTCTTGTTCAAGATCACCTAGAAGTGTATTTGGAAAGTTATACCCAGAGAGAGAAAGGAAGGGTGTGGGAATCGGGGAGGAGAGGGGGGGAGAGAAGGAAACATTTGACCACCGTTTCCATGTTGTCCAGTGGGCAAAGCTGCAAGCTTTCCAGATGCACAAGACTCTTTGGAGAGAGGAGGAGAAACGGGGAAGAAAAGAGTCTTGCCTGAGTTGAAAGTTTACAGAGTGTCTCCCCCGCTACTCCAACAGCGTTTGAAGGAGTTGAAAGATTTTTTTGTTTGCCTGCCTGCGTCACTCTCCTGCTCATTTTATCTTATAGATTATAATTCGTACTGACACTCGTTTCATTTACACCAATGAGTTTATATAAAATGGATTGTGTCTCCTTTAGTGCCCCCAAATAAAAGGCGCCATAGCTGCCTTCTGTTTATAGGAATATCCAGGGAAGAGAAGGGCAAAGAAGGAGGGGGGAGGGGCTTCAAGTAATAGCCTGGAGGCCACTATCAGGGCTATCATAAATCCCATCCTTTGGGCTTATTGCTAATACTGAATATCACTTCTGATACTGTGTGTATAGTTTCTTCCCTGTTATATTTGGGTGGCTATGTGTTGATTCTTGTTTCATTTAAACCAACCAAGCATCTATTTTAAAAAATAACCCTCGACCCCGGAGACATTTGGTCCACAAATGGTAAAACTTGAACTTTTCTTAGGGTACAAGTGGCTAAAAAAGCGAATGTATTAATTTGGTCCATAAGTAAAAAACTGATTGGGTTCTGTGTAGTTTACCTGGTGCTTTCCAGCTCTTAAAAAAGAGGCTGGAAAGAGTCATTTGGCACAAGGGTGTTGCATTTTGGATGAGTTTGCAGTGAGCTCTTCACAACTCTTATCAAAAGGTAGTGGTTTCTTTTTCAAAAATTGGCTAATGCCCAGGGTGACAAAGGAAGAAAACTGTGTGGGGCATTTCTGGCAGATTTGGAATTAATTCAAACCACCAGTTTCTTAATCTCCTTCTGGGAGAAAAGTTGCAATCCTGAGGTAATCTTGGTTTTCTGGAGCATAAATGTATCTAAAATTGCTTCATGTAATCCCTCATTTACAACGATGAAGATGCCTGATTTGCCATAATTAATCTTTTAGTCTTTAAAAGGTGCCACAGGCTCCATTGTTGTAAAATATACTACACTCCTTTCCTAAAAGAACGAAAGATGGCCAGATAGGCAGAACCCTTGTTTCTAGGTCATTGAAAAGGCTTACTCTGGAAAGAAAGAAACGATTTTGAGCTGAGAAATACTTGGTATTCCCAGGAAGATCATTCACATAGAACATTTCGGTGTGCCTGTGCCTTTGCTCCTATGCGTGTGTTACTTGCCTGGGTACCTTCTACTGAGGCCCCAGAGATGAAAGTACTCTGGTTCTATAGGGTGGTATTACACCGAGTTACTCTTCCGTTCCCAACTGGATCTTCCACTCAGCCTTTCCATGTCGTTCTCCCTACAGGTGGGAGGACCTGGGTCGCCGCTGTGGGTGAGTTCCGATTGATCGGATCGCCTTTAGGATTCCGAAGGACGGGCGGGAGGCGAGATGAAGTCAGAAAGGCCTACAAAGGCCTCTTCAAATCTCCGCCTAGCCCAGGGCCTGCGTGCTTTCCGGAACAGGAAAGGGGGCAAAAGGGCCAAATACAAAGAAAGGAATCCTCAACTAAAGAAAAAGTGCGCGGGGCCGGGGGGGGAGGGGAGGAGAGCTAGGAATGTTTTGCGTTCAGAAGAAGCTGAGATCGGCTTCCACAAGAGTATCTTCGCTTGCTCTGCAAATCAACCCCCTTCGTGGCCACCCTTCGCGCCGGTTTAGCTTCGGATGTAGCACCAAGCCCGCCTCACTTTAGGAATAAGGAGGGGATCCAAAGAGAGAGGCTAGCGAGGAGCGAGAAGGGGGCTAACGAAGAGAGTTGATTTTGCTGTCAGAAGTTCTGCCAGCACTTAACTGAAATGGGTTAAATCCTGCCCTGATTGCGCAAGGGAAGGCAGAGGCAAACGACCACAACGGAAAGGAAAAAGGGACATTAAGCACCCTGATTAGGGATTAAGCTCTGTTGAATTTACTCAGAAGCACATAGGATTGGGCTGCGCGAAAGTGAAAGGAAAAACCTGGGGTACAGCTAATGGGAAAAGGGAAAAAAAGTTAGTTACCGTGAATCTCCGTGATCTACACACACCCTTTATTATCTACCCACCCACACATTGCCGGGTGGGAGAGATCTCCGTACAGGCTACATTCGCTGCCTATTAGGAGTTCTCGCTCCCCACAATCTGCAACGGTGGGCTATGGGCTATGGGGTTTTCTCCTGGGTATGTATGTACTCAGAGGGGGGGGGGGATTTGTGTAGCAAAACACCTGGCGATCTCCTCTGAGGCGATAAACCGACGCTAAAATATGCACGGGAGAAGCCAGAGGATCCCCCAATAATCTGGCAACAAGTTGCAGGCTTGAGTGGCAGCCGCGTACGTGCGCGAACGGCCTCTTCAGAAACACAACTTTTGAAAGGGGAACAGACGGAAGTAGTAGGCTGTCATTAAAATGGAATCGCGTGAATATAACAATGGATATATTAAAAATAACCTCCGTCCGGTAAAGAGTGAGAGTTCCTGGAGGTTCCAAATTTTGCACAACTCAGAAAGACCTGCCCGGCGTCCCCAGGGCTCTGCGTGGAAGAGATCAAACCCCAACCCCCCCCCCCCAGAGCGAGATAAATCCTCTAGACCACCCGTCAGTCTCGCTGCCCATTGGCACTAAGGGTTTAGCAAGCAGGTCTCTCACGGAGGACGGAGGGCTGGGGGAAGAATTCGTGCTTCCTTCACTAGGAGAAGGCGCGAAGGGGGATCCGATCTCCACTGCACAGGAGCCGGGCCGACCAGGCGCGATCCTGGCACGCGCCCTTTGCTCCTTTCGCTGCTCGGGAGAAGCGGAGGGAGCCCCCTCCTCTCTCCTGCCGGCCTGGACACGCAGAAGGAGCCGGCCTGCAAAAGGAGAGGGACTCGGCTCGCCAATGCGCTGGACTTAGTAGAAGCAGGGCTGGGGATCTGATCCCGGAGCCAGGAAGCAGCCGAGGCGCCAGGGCCCGCGTCCTAACCTCGGAGGCTCGGAGAGAACCGCGGCTCTGCTGCTGCTCCGAGGATTAGTAAGCCCTTCGCCGGTGGGCCGGAGAGTTGGAAAGCTCAAGAAGGTTCCCCAGAGAAACTGGAGGGGGGCGCCTCCATTGCTTGTGGTTTTGTTTTTTTTAAAAGACTTTTAAGTACCAAGCTTTTTTTTTTTAAAGAAAACCCGACTTAAGTCATAATAAATGGCTTAATGTAAAAATGCCGCCCAATAATCGTCGTCCTTAAGTGGGTAATTGATTTGAAGGTGTGTGTGGGGGGGGGGAGGGAGAAATTATTTTGAAACAGGTTTTTCGCCAATCGGTTGTTTGGTTGTGTTTCGAAGCGATCCTTTCCTGGGTTTGTGTTACCCCTTGGAAGGCGCCGAGCGAAGGCGGCGGAGGTCGGCCGCCAGGTCTTCCTAGCCACCCAACTGGCGGCTGTTAGGAGCCGTTTATTTAAGCTGAACGTCCCCATAGCTTCAAGCCAACAGAAGATTTCGAGGGTTTTAAAACACAAGGTCGCTAAGAGTGTATCTTCAAGTAGTTAAAGCACGTGTAGAATTTAAAAAAAGGAGGGCCCATTCTGTTAAACCGCTTTCCGTCAGTATAAGAAGAGAAAAATGAAATAATATAGGGGTGATTTTTCTTTTTTTGGACCTGGATATGTCCTGATTTCTTTGACCTTACTGAATGCAAGGAATTCTAGACCAGCTATTCCAGTTGGTTTTGTGTTTGTTTATATAAAGGCTGTTTTCTGAAAGGTTTGTGCTTTCAAAGTAACTCTGTTCTTTCTGTTTGAATCAAAATATTAAGGTTTTTTTAAAATTCAGAATTATACTTATTTATACCCAAGATTCATACCTATAATTACTTGTGTTGTATTTGGTTTTCTACTATAAAGTTATTTGCTGTTTCAAATAAGTTGAGGCGTTTCTTGTAATCAATGCTAGCCTACCGCTTCGGAAGAAAAATACACTTCAACAAACACAATGAACTAACTACAACTAGGAGAGAGAAAAAACTGGGCATGAACAATTATGATCCCAAAGTTAAAGATATTCACACATAAGCACTGACTTCAAGTTTCAGTTGTGTGTTTTCATGAATTACCCAACAGAAGTGTTTGATTTAAATCAAGCACATAAATATTCGCATTTTAAAATGTTGGGTCGATAGGATTTTTTTTTTTGCGTGTGTGTGTGTGTGTGTGTGTGTGTGTGTATCTAACAAATATTCTGTTTTTGCAAACCTGGGGATATTTCGTAAGCCCCCCTGTTCACCATCCTTTTGCACTGCCTCCCAACACCTGGTGAAATATCTTTGCTCAAAGTCTTAACCTCAAGCCACTTGGGGTTATTTAGTGCCCGCTGCGGACTTTCAAATTTCGATGTGGGCCGGGCACTCGAGTTGGTGAAATCCTGGTGTTTTTGTTTTGTTTTGGAGGTTTTTTGCGGGTTTTTTTTTTTTTAAAGAAGCTCCTCCGATAGAGGAGAGACTTGGAGTGGGGCTATCTCCAAAGTTATCGCGGAGTGAAGTCGAAAAGACCATGGAGGGTGTGTGCGCGGGCGGGGGCGGGGGCGGGGGAAAAAAGGGGGGGCGAGCGTCTTTCTCTTTGGCGGGTTCAGCACTTTTTAGCTGTTTGGAGCAAACGAGGGAATGGATTTTCCGGGGCCAATCGCAAGGCGAGACTAGACGCCGAGCTGCTGATTGGCTGGACGGAGGTTCTTAGCCTGTGCGTAGCCCCTAGTTCATGTCTACTGAACTGAGTCCAGCTGGCGCCAGAGCTGACACAGGATGCTTTGGGGATGTTACAAAAAAGGCCAGAATAAGTGGAGCTTGCCATCTGAGTAAGAGCCTCCATCCAATCCTCCTCTCTCGCGCTTTTTTTTTTTTTTTTTGCATTTCCATCCTCCAAACAATCATCCGTCACCCCATTCCCTCCTCCTCCTCCTCCTCCTCCTCCCCCCCGTCCCGGTTTACAACCTAAAGAAACTTTTCCAACATTTGGAGTTCGATTCAGTCTGCTTGGAAGATCTCCTTTGTAAGTATGTCGACGAGCTGAATGCGGGGTTGGTGTGGGGAGGAGAGAGCGCGACGCCTGGTTTTGTTTTGCAGAAATAGAAAAGCTTTCCAGTTTCCTTCACCCCCTTTCTACGAGTTTAGGACCTCTTGGGAAATGTCAGTCCGAGCCCCATTGTAGACAAATGTAGATCAAAAGACCTGCCTTCTATCTCGCCTTGTTGTGGTTAAAGGAGGTCGTTCTGGCCGTATTACGAACGGGGAGGGCAGCCTGATGAGGATGCGAAGGCCGGGAGGGGGGATAGAGTGCAGTGGACGCCACGGGATCGTTTTCGCTGGGCTCTGTGCCCGCCTCCCCCTCTTCCGCGTTTCCCCCGAGTAGAGCAGCCTCTGCCGCGGTCTCTTCAGACTGTAACGCCTTCCAAAGGGCCGCCGTGTACTCATCGTTCCCTCCTTCTTACAGGTGGTGATCCCGAGTGTGTGGCGACCGGAACCTCTCTCCGCAGCTTCTCGCCTTCAAAGAGAGACACCTTTGCTTCTTTTTTTTTTTTTTCCTTCCTCCCCCCCCTCCTTCCAAGGCCACCTCGCTACTTCTGAGATCTCTGCGATTTTAAGCCAAACGAAACTAAGGCAAAACGGTTTGGGGGGGTTGGAGGGAGGCGGGGGGCTAGGGGCGGAGTGGGAAGAAACCCACCGACATGGAGGTAGCTACGGACCAGCCACGCTGGATGGCCCATCACGCCGTGCTGAATGGGCAGCACCCGGAGAGTCATCACCCGGGACTGGCTCACAACTACATGGAACCGGCGCAGCTCCTACCTCCGGACGAAGTGGACGTCTTTTTTAACCACCTGGACTCCCAGGGCAACCCGTATTACGCCAACTCAGCCCACGCGAGAGCCAGAGTTTCCTACAGCCAGGCACACGGTAAATTTTGCCTCCCCGTTGCCCCCTTTCCTCGCTTCCCGTTTTCTGCCTCGGCCTCCTGCTGATCTCGGTGGAGACGCGGCCGGAAGGTTTCTGGCAAAGCAGCAATAAGAGAAGGAGGGTGGGGGGGGGGGGAGGGGTGAGCCAGGGTGGGCTTAATCCTAGAAAAGCCTTAGCTGGCCAGTTTGGGTGCTGTTTTTAATTGATGGCGGGGGTGGGGTGGGTGAGACTAGAAAAGGGAAGCGACGTCCTTGTGCGTGGAGGAAGAGAGGGTTATTAAATGAATTTCGCAGCCCACAAGACAGGCCCGTTTTCCGGATACGAAGACTTAACGTAATTTGAAACACTTTTAAACGTTTACCCTTTGTCAGTGTCCGTATAAGAACGCTGGGGGTGCAAATAGCTGGAGACTAGGTTTTTCTTTTTCTTTTTTTTTTTTTTTTTTTGCAAAATAGGAAAACAATTCGGGCACCCGAGTATTCATATGCCTGTAAAGCTCTCTGGGAAGCAGCAGCAAGCGGGGAAAAACGCCTGCCCTTCGCTTGTCAGCTTACTCCGGTTGACATTTTACTTCCCTCCACGTTCCAGCTAATTTTGACATCCGATCGTGGAGCAGGGGGGCGATGTAAGACGCCTGCCCGGCGCTGCTTTCCGTCATTTACGCTTGGTGGGTAGGGTAGGGGGTCCCAGCTAGACTGGGAGGGGAGGGGGAGGAAAAAGCAATGGGCAAGTATACACATTTGCTTGCTTTTCTCCTTAACCCCCCCCCCCGATTTCCCGAGGAGGCCCCAGCTGCCTTTTTAAGCCCTTTTTGCCTGTTTTGCTTGAGAGACCGCAAAGAACGGGGGCCGCGTTTCAGCTGGCTCCCCTCCGCGGGTTCCAGAAACGCATCTGAGCCCCTGCCCTCCTCCAATTCGGACCCGTGGTGGTGGTGGTTTGGGAACCGATCTTCACGTTGGCGGGTGTGGGACGGAGGAGAGGTTCAGAGGGGTGGGAGAGTCTGCTTGTCCACCAAGCCCTGCCCCAGCAGGAGGGGGATCTGGGGGGGGGGGGAGGGGGCGAGAGCGGGGAGATCGCATTGGAACCCCGGCCGTTCTGGCCTGGCTGACTGGCGCCTTTTCCTCCTCCTCCTCCTCCTCCTCCCCAGCCCGTCTGACCGGCGGCCAAATGTGCCGGCCTCACTTGCTCCACAGCCCCGGCCTGCCTTGGCTGGACAGCGGCAAAGCGGCGCTCTCGGCGGCTCACCACCACAACCCCTGGACGGTGAACCCATTCACCAAGGGGCCCTTGCACCCTTCGGCGGCCGGCGCGCCGCCCGGCGCCCTCTCGGTCTACCCGGGAGGCGGCAGCTCCGCCTCGAGCGCCGCCTCGGCCTCTTCGCTCACGCCGGCCTCGCACTCGGCCTCGCACCTCTTCGGCTTCCCGCCGACGCCGCCCAAGGAAGTCTCGCCGGACCCCAACGCGGGCAGCAGCGCCGCCTCGCCGGCCTCGGCTTCGGCCGGCAGCAGCAGGCAGGACGACAAGGAGCCCCTGAAGTACCAGGTGGCCCTGGCGGACGGCATGAAGATGGAGAGCGCCAGCCCGCTGCGCAGCAGCCTGGCCGCTTCCATGGGCGCGCAGCCCTCCACGCACCACCCGATCCCCACCTACCCTTCCTACGTGCCCGCCGCCCACGACTACGGCGGCAGCCTCTTCCACCCGGGCAGCTTCCTCGGGGGCCCCGCCTCGAGCTTCACCCCAAAGCAGAGGAGCAAAGCCAGGTCCTGCTCAGGTAAGACCGCTCGCCCCCTCTCCTCCCCCCTTTCCTGAATAAGCTCGTCCGCCCTTTGGGTTGGGGGTGGGGGCACAGAGGTCGGGTCTCTCTCTCTCTGTGTGTGTGTGTGTGTGTTTGTGTGTGTGAGTGTAAGAGCTGCTCTCTTGTACGGTGGCAATTATTTAATTAACCCACGTATCAGAGAAGCGTTGGAAACCTTTTTTGGGGGGGGGCATCTTGAACCCTTTGCTGCTTGTCTTGCCGTCTCTTGGATAAGCGTGGCATAAATGTTGTTAAGTGTATTAAATCCCCCTGTTACAAATAACAGCCGTTATATTGTTAAGAATAGTTGCAGTAATAGAAGGATGGGGTCTGAGAAGGAGTTGTTCTTCCTTGTGAAATGCAGGAGTCTTTCCGGGGGTTTATTCTGTTTAGATAATTCACCAAGTAAGAATTATACAGTATTTAAGCGGGTAAAAATTTGTACGAGTATTTAAGAAGAGCAACAATTTTGATTTAAATGTTTTAGGCATTATAGCATAGATCATGTTTCTTCCCAAATTAAAAATACTAGTCCTCTCCCCAAATATATTTGACTAATGAGGTAGTTAATTTTTTAAACACACCCTAACTGCAATCTTAGCAGAACTTAAATGAATACTTAAGTCCTATTATTTATTCAGCCCTAGTTTAATAATTCCAAATAAACGAATCACCACTTTGATCCTGCAACTGTAATAAAATCCAAGAAGATAACAATCATCATTGCAACTATCTCTGGGCTTCAGGAGTTGGATCATTTCTTAAAAAAAACCCAAAAACCTCTACTCAAGGTGTAGTTAAATATGTTAAAGGGTAAGGCTTAAAAAGGCTTTTGTGTGTCACTGGCCAGTTTTAAATTTTCTGAATCAGATTTGAATGGATTTCCATATTCCTACATTTTAGTGAGAACATGTAACAAAATTAAGTTATCAGCAGTCTTTCTGAGAGCACAAGGGCATTTCCGGTTTATCTTTCATAATTTTAGTTTTTGTTAATTAGTTGGCAAGCCAGGTCTCTCTTTTTGTTCCAGCCATTGATCTCCATAGAATTCACTCATTGCTGGGCCCAAAAGCTGCCATAATCCATTAAAAAAAAAAAGATACGCAAAGTCTATAGATCTGAATTATGCAAATAAGAATTTATATTGGTAAACCTCTTAATGCAACCCCATGAAAGTCTGGGGCAGTTGAATTCATTGGAAACCCCTGATATGCCTTATATTCTTTTGAGCGGGATCTCCATTACTGAAAATTTTAGTTAATTTATTACCTGGTTAATAAAGATGAACTTTATTGTAATTTTTTGTTAACTTACAATAAAGTTCCTCTTCATTAAACAAGGGACTTCATAAATACTCAGCTGTTAAGAATTGAAATTTACGAAGTCATTTTCTTAAAACCTCTACAGAACTTTGCTTCCTCCAAATCATATGAAAGGCAAAGTTCAAATATAGTTTACATAGGAGTGCAGGCTTCCAAAGAACCTTTTAAATGATAACTTAAATGAATCCAATAAAACTGGAGGAATCTACAGTAATATGTGTTAGTTAACTCCAGTTCATCTATTTGTTAAACCTGCAACTTATTAGCCTGTCATTACCTTTACAGATTTGAAGCCAAAGATGCTCTTATTACTTTTATTTCTTTTTAGAAAGACATTCAGTGTGATAAATAACACTCACATGAAACCAAGCATAGACTATTTTTATATTAATGCAACATTGTTGTAGTGGCTTTATCAGTAAAGATGAAATTTACCGTGATATCGAAGAAAAACAAAACAAGATATGTTTGCCCCTCTTTTCAACCTGGCTAGCAATTCAGAAACATGGCTACTTTTAGGAACAATGCAAGAAAAGTGCAGTACTTTTTGTTGCTTCTCTGTTCGGATCATCCTCTTTAAAGAAATTCTGGAATTTTGTGTCAGAAGTAAAATATATTTGGGTGTTGTTTTTTTTCAGTTTTTTTTTTTTTTAATTTGGCTATTTTTATAAATTGCTCTCCATTGCAATAGGAATCACTGGGAAATTTGGTTTCAACCTTCCTCCCACAACTTCTGTCCTCCTTTGCCACATCTACAACTGTTTATTAGATGCAAGTTTTCCTACGATCCTGACTTGTAGATGAAACTGGGGAGAGTTCGTGACCATTTAATGTTTTTGTAGCAAAAGCAAGACTCACGACAAGGCGACTCCTGCAGCTTCCTGCTTAAGGAGGGACAAAAGCTAGGAACTTCTGGCTTCCCAGAGGTCCCTCATTTTTCACTCCAAGCCAGGGCTGTTTAAAAAACCACCCACTCCATAGATTAAAGGAGACACAGACACAGCTGAACTTAGTATGGCCAGCTCAAGTTACTGCCAAAGTGTATTTCCTCTGCATTAAATACTGTATGATTTGCATAAGCTCTACTCAAAGAATTTCCTTGCCCTCAAACAAATGAACTTTTAGTTAATATTCTTGCCCCCACCCCCTCCTCCTTTTAAAAAAGAACAAGCAGCCATGTTTAAGTATTTTGAGCCAGATCAATCTTAAGCCGATAACAAAGAGAATGCATAATAAATTAGATTTTGGATATGAGGGTATATGGAATGCCCAGAAACAAAAAGTTAATTGTGCTTCATTCTAAAGGGTGCAACATTTATAAGGAAAGGAAAGAAAAAAGAATCGGGCAAGCCAGAGAAAGAGAATTTTTCTCTAACTCCAAAACATTAATGAACAAAGATTCTGTATTCTTGTTTCAGTTCCAATATTACTTCTCAGATGTTGGAGAGAAGAGGGAGGAAAGAACAGCTTATGACTCTACATTTTGGAACAGAGTCTGTTTTCTCATGTGGCAGCTGTAATAAAAATACCCCTGCCTAGGTTAGACAGCATTATTGCTTGAAAATAAATGCTTGAAAAACTACATGTCCCTACCGTTATTGTACGTACTGTAAATGTTGTGTCACTGACCTGTCTTTTTCCTTCCCTTTTAAATAAATTGAATAATGTGCTGTTTTGATATCTGGAATCTACCTAAATGGACAATGCAAAAAGCTTTTGTGAATTTGTTTTTAAAGAAAGAAATCCGGTTTCTTCGTGTTTCCATTTAGAAGGCAGAGAGTGTGTCAACTGTGGAGCTACTGCCACCCCTCTCTGGAGAAGAGACGGTACTGGGCATTACCTGTGTAACGCCTGCGGGCTGTACCACAAAATGAACGGTCAAAACCGACCTCTCATTAAACCTAAGCGGAGACTGGTAGGTGCCTGTTTCTCTATCAGGTTCGGGGCAAAATGGTTTCATGGGACCACACAATGCCTATGAAGGAAGAGGGTACAATCTAACCCATCTGTGGGGTTCGGTGCTGGCATGGAAGCCAGATACGGTCTGCACATGAAGGCTGTGTGACGGAGAGGTCACAGAATAGCCTAGGAACAAATGACTAGTCATTTACATGCCAGGATATAAAACAGTGGCTATTTCATATGGGGATATGTGTATGTATTTGTATACCCTTAGTGTGCTCTTGACTACAGCTTTAGAAGTCCTGTGATTTGTTGCCCATACAATGGATCTTGTCAAGTAGGCTGCTGGTACAGACTTACATTGCCTCCCATGTGTATATTCTGTCTGTCTGTATCTTTGCAGCACATTCCTGTCTGTTTGAGAGTATGTGCCCAATTAAATCGGCCTACTTCTTCCTGTGCATTATTCTGCCTCTTTTATCCAGAAAAGACAGCTTCAATTCATTTGACCTCTTGGACAGGTCAGATGTATGCTCAAACTGAAAGAATCACTCTTGCCTGCCCTCCCAGCTGAAAAGTACAAAAAGTGACCCGAAGCAGAAAGTATTTAAAAAATATATAAAAATAATAGATGAGTCAAAGCTGTTTCTGTCTGTTCAGTCATTATTTGGATAATTTTGTAGTCAGAGATTCCATGGTAAAACTAACATTAGCCTTCTTTAGAAGCGATCCTCTGATTGCCCTTTTCAAAGGCTGATTATTTTTCCATGGAGTCACCTATACTTTGTATTTTCATTTCGGGGTTGTTGATTTTTTAATTTTTGAAAAAAATTCTGAGCTCCTGGTAGTAGTTTCCTATCCGGATATCTGTATTGTGAAGATAAGGAAACTTTGTGTATCTGTTTCCTGGCTCTAAAAGCTTTAAAGAGTTTCTATAGGCAGGCTATGCTATTCAGGCAGTCTGTTTTGAAATTGCAAATATGCTCTGCTGTACAAATATTTGTTTAAAAAAGGAGAAAACACACACACACACACACACACACACACACACACACACACACGGAACAATGTGATTTGGGGGGACCAAAAATGCCCTTGCTCTTTGTCAGGAGGCATTTTTCCAGAATGATTATAAGGCTGAAGGAACAGTTCTAATGATCTAATGCTGGGACAGGATGCAGAGGATTTTTGAGGGTTAGAACTTCAAGCGGGTGATTGTCTTAATGACTTACTTTTCTTCTGAAGTGATTGACAGAACTAGAAAAATGTTGAGACAACAGGGAAATGTTATTGTCTCTGACAGGGCAAACTCCATGCTAGACTAAATGAGACAGGGTGTAGAGTTAAGGGCCAGTGTCTAGTAGGACACTGGAATAAGGAATAAGCAATCCCAAGTATGCAAACATAGCTCTCTCTTTTTTCCACAAATATGGCTTTTTAGCAGGTGAGTGGCTAGAGGTGTGTATGCGTGTGTTAATTGTTGGATCAGGAAGAAGGCAAATTTAACATTCAAAACAAATCAGTATAGTTATCATTCTCTTGTCTACTGAAAAATAAGATGCATTTTAAAACCTGATTTTATCTTATTGCATCTTGAAACAAGAAAAAATTGGAAGTCTGAATAGAAAGGGGACGATTTATATACCTTGTCCTAAGCCTATAGCCTGATAAGAGAATTAGCCTATTCTAGCAAGCGCCTCATTGCATCAATTGATGCACTGGTTGGCATCTCTTAATCCAGTGTTCCCAACTTTGGCCACTTGAAAATGTGTGGGCTTCAACTCCCAGAATTCCCTAGCCAGCCATGTTGAAGTCCATACAACTTCAAATGGCCAGGGTTGGGAAACACAATTTTAGAAGTTCCTGGCAGCAGTAATCTTTTGTGAGGTTCCAACAAAAAAAGGAAGCATTCTTGACTAGTTTAGGTATCCCCTTTTCTTAGACCTTGTTGCATTTCCAGTGGATCAGTTTAGTAAGAGTTCTCTGGTTTACAATCTTGCAGATTGGCACTAGCTGTAGATCAGTGGTACAGCACATTTTTTTTTCATGCAGAGAGTTGGAAGTTCAATTCTTGGTAACTTAAAAAAAAAAATAGATGCATAGGAGAAATTTTTCTCAGGGCCAAATTAGTATTTAGAGTAGACTAAACTATATGGATAAAACAGATGCAATTTGTTTTAAGGCAGTTTTTTACAAACAGCATCAGAAAACTGATGCTTAGCAAAATAATATAATTGTGGCTTCTCCAGTGTAAATTCCTGGTCCCATTTAAAAAAAAAATAAAATAGCATTCTTTCTTCTCCCATGTTGTTGTTTTATATGCCGATTAATTCCAGTTAGTCTTATGTAGGAGAATTGTCAGAAGGATTGTCTGTTATTCTCTCAGTCAACCTTAAAGGTATTTTAAATTCTGCTACTTGACATAGATGCCACATTCAGCTATACTGAATTTTTAAAGGGTCAGCTATATTCTACATCCTTTTAATGTGTGTTCTAGTTATAGTCGTTGATTTTCCTTTCTTACTATTGAAGTGTATGATTCTATTATATAAAGTTGTACACAGCCTGCTTTAGTGTGAGTCTCACTGAAACCAGTGGGATATCAGTAATAGTATCCATTGAAGTAGAGGAATATCTTTATAAATTTCTTCTTATTCTTGAATTTGTAAAAGAAAATTGTGCAAGATTCATGAAAAATTGAATGTGCAAAGTAGATAATTTTTATAATATATTATAATGGGAGGGAAAGTATTAATATGTGGTATACATAGTAAAATTAGCCTCTCTTAACTGCCTTGTGCTTCCAGATTTTTTAAACTACAATTTCCATTATTCTCCAACATGATCACCATTTTTAGACTAGTCTTAATTGTCTTGTAGTGGAGGTTGGACAGAATATTAGTATAATGTATTAACAACGCCTGTTTTATGCGACTCCAAATTTAGATCCACATTTATCTGTGGATGCTTCACTTTGCTACCCCCCAGGCTCTCTTCCCTGTTCTTCATTCTGAGATTTTTGAAAAATATTAATATTTTAAAATGCACAATTCTCATGCTTTAACGCCATCTTTATTTTCAAGAATGCGTCTAAGTCTCAGATAAAAAAGATGGCTTGTTGCATCATTGATGGTCTGTTTGGGAGTAATCCTAGCTGCTCGGGAAAAGGAGATAATAAACAGAAGAGGAATTTTGAGAAATGGAACTTGCAGATAGGATTAGTTGTATTCTGGTGATTTGGTGCCTTATATTTGATGTTTTCCCCTTTGAAGTGAATCAGTGAAGTTTTCTGAACCAAATCACCAAAATTCTCACCTCTTATGATAATGCCCTCACCATTTTCTCAAGGCTAGAAGGAACCCACCAACCTCTAAACTTGACAGTCTAAACTAAACGATGAGAAATTTGGTCTGATTTACATTTTCAATAAATCAGGGTTATATAGCCGCTGTGGTATTATTGTGTGGCTGCTTCCAAAATCAACACAGAAATTAATTTGATTTTAAAAGGCCTCTCTCACAGACTAAATATTTTATGTGGAGAAAAAACATCTATATTTCCACATACGGCCTCAAAGAGGGGACAAAAATATTTCCTGAAACAGAAACCCTTTCTTACCAAAGATTCGTTTGCAAAAGAATTTTCTTCTACTCTTAAAAACTTCTGAAATGACACTATTGTTTTCAGGGTTATGGGTCACTCTGCCAAGTACCAATTTAAGGAGGGAAAGGTATTTTGTCTGAATGTAAACCTTACTTTCATGTACAAAATCAGCCCCCCCCCAAGCAAAAATGAATGCAATTCCTATTGGAATTCATCTTGCCATATATTAGTACAGCAATGTATTATTAGTACAGTAGTATTATTAGTATTATTATTTAAGCTGCTCAAAACTTCAGCCTGAATACAAAGATTTATAGAACAAATGAGCTAATCAATAGATGCTACTGTTAGGCTGGTATTTGTTTGCTGAAGTGTAGTAAATTCATGAGGGCCAGTTTCATTTACTTCTTTTAACGTACGAAGAGACAGTTATCTGTTATATATTAAAGTGAATGCTGTAGTACAGCGGTACCAGCATCATCTTTACAAATATGGTAGTTATGTGGAAGAAAATATACTGAACGCTTTTTCAGTGCAGCATTATAGATCCCTATTATTGCAATCGAGTTGCTGAGGCAGAGTGTTATGTACCGGAACAAGTAGCCTAAATATTCCAAATCCTTAAATTGCAAGTTATTAAAATTAAATAATTAAATTTGTCTTTGAAGGTATTAAAGCACTTTGGTCCTTATTAATCAGAAATGGGGCATTTACATAGAGTTTAATTTACCTTGTTTTTATGAGTGATGGTGAAAATACACTCGCTAATTAAAAGTCTGATATTTGTAATGTCTTGGCATTTGAATATGCCATAAGAATAGCAAACAAATAAATGCAGAGGGGAGTTAGAGGCAATAAGACAGTGCAACATATTAATGTAATTAAGGTTTTGTATCCAGTAATTAATTTAAGGATTCCTGACTGGATAGAGGAACCTCATGATCACACCCAGCAGTCATGTAGATGTTCAACAGATGGGGCAAGAATACCAAGCCCTGAGGCACTGCACAAATGAGGAACTATAGGCTTGACCTCTCCCCATCAATGTTGACTACAGAAAAAGAGGAAAACCACTATAATGCTGTGCCCCCACTCCCAAACCCCAGGGTTGGGATTGTTAGGTCCAGTGACAGCCTCTTATGGGAATATATTACCACCTCCTTCAAAGCCAAAAGAACAATACCCTCTGTCACCATCTCATGAAGCCAACTGCAGGTCACCTCCTGGGCAGAAAGCTCAGAGGACCTGGATCTCAAACCCAAGTGGCTTTGCTTCCAGTTCTGAGGAATTGCCCATTACTTCAGGAGGCAGAGATTCAAATTTATGCTGGATAAAGACCGTGCCCTAGGCTTCTCAGTCCAACTCTGAGTGTGTCTGAGACTTTATCTTCTGGATGGTTTGAATTTTCTTCACAGTGACCCTGTAGGTTTTCTTGAGGCTCTCCCTCATATAAAGCAAGATTGACATTTTTATGCCCAAAGTTTCTTAGTTAAGGGAATTACAGTATATTCACCCATGCTTAGCTTTGTGTTCTGGTCCTTTAAGCAATTTTCGCCTACTCCAGTTCTGAGACTGGAAGTGAGGCCGGCTGGGAGAAAATGAGTTAAAATGATGAAGTGGAATAAGAAAAGGGAAGAGTAGTGTGTGAGTAGTTATCTGTATATTGTTTAGCTAATTGGCCTACATGTTCATTCTTTTCCAACTTGCCCTCTTCATGTGTGATATAATAGTTTTAAGAAGTTGAATTAGAATTCTGGGAATTGTAGACCCAATATACCTGAAGGATATCAGAGGTGGAGAAAGCCAATGAAAAGAATAACCCTCTACAAGCCTGACACATAACTAGTATGAAGGTGGCTGACAGGCTCTGTCTCCTGATTTTTAGATGTGTTCTCACTTAGAGAACCTTAACTTTCTCTGATTTCTGACATAACCTTGGGGTTCTTCATGCATAGCTATAATTTACTATTCATTGGCTAGTTGACTTCCCCTGCCCATGTGCAAAGGATGAGAGGACAACTGCTTGGAAGGGGAGTGGGGAGACAGGGTTTCCTAAATGCCTAAAGCTATCCAACACTGGCAAAGAAATGGGGGCAATAATAAGCACTCATCCCCTCTGATTTTGAGTTGGGAGTGGAATTCAAATTATCCACACATTGAGTTTCCATGTATGTTTGAATGACAAAGCCACAAAGCAAGATAAAAAAGACAGAACTTTAAGAGAGGACGATTGAATATTTCATATCTAATTTAAAACTAATGCATCAGTTAAAACTGAAAGAACATCTTCTCCAATATATATATATATATATATTTTCATCTTTAATTAGTCAGCAGCTAGGAGAGCAGGAACCTGCTGCGCTAACTGCCAAACCACCACCACCACTTTATGGCGACGTAATGCCAATGGGGATCCAGTTTGTAATGCCTGTGGACTGTATTACAAATTGCACAATGTGAGTATTTTCTTGCCTTGTGTCTTCTGTTGCTTGCTTAGCTGAGATTGATGCCTTAACTGCCTGCTGTCCACTAGCCTTTGCATTCATTGCAAAGGAACATTTTGAAAAAAAAAAAACACCCTTCTTTAATGTTCCCTGGGGAAGTCATAATCATTCTTTGTTGGCATAGTGATGCTGGGTTCAATAACATTATAATGTGTTAGCTTGGCTTCTAAAGCCCAGATAATCTAGGCAAAGGGAGTTATAACTCACAGTTATTGCTAAAGCATATTCATTTCTGTTCTACTATACCCAAGAAATGAAAAGGATATTTAACACACATTTATATAATGAATGGTTTTTATGTAAGCTGGTGCTTCAAAACAAAACAACAATTAAAATTAATCTTAAAAATCCAGGCTAGGTTCAAGGAGAAAATATTGAATCTACATGAGCATATATATAGGACAAGGTGAAGGAGTTTTAAAACTCCAGGTATGAAGTCAATGTAGAAATGTGTGCAGAATATTCTGTGTGTATACAGACAGAGGTAGAGATTCATATGCAGATATGAAAGCCAATTTGGTGTAGTAGTCACAGACACTGGATTAAAAATTGATAGATTATAAATTGTAATCTAGCTTTAGGTATTGAAGCCACGTGGTGGTTTTGGAGTCAGTCACATGCTCAGCCCTATGAAGGCAGCAATGGCAAATCACTTCCAAAAATATTGCCAAAAACCCCTGCATAAACCTGTCCATATAGTTGCCAGGAGTCAAGATTGACTTGAAAGTGTATGTACACCCCATACACGCACAATATTTTAGGATCCAGAGTCAATTGATTGTTAAAAGAGCCAGGTTAAGGAAAGGAAGAGTGAAAGCAACCAGATTATATTGAGATTGGGGTGGTTTCATCCAATAAATTTATAATTTATAAAACACAAGTTGCTGGGAGAACAAAAGTGAAAAATATATAATGCTGGATCAGGGGGAGGAGGGCACGAAAGGACTGTTTCTCAGGGAAGGTTTAGGGGGGCTGTTCAAATATTTTTCTTTGTGCACAAAAAAAGATCACTTTGCTTGCAGGAGCCTGATTTTCTCATTTCTTTCAGGTGAACAGGCCCCTGACCATGAAGAAGGAAGGGATTCAGACCAGAAATAGGAAAATGTCCAACAAATCCAAGAAGAGCAAGAAAGGCTCTGAATGTTTTGAGGAACTGTCTAAATGCATGCAGGAGAAGTCCTCACCTTTCAGTGCTGCTGCCCTGGCTAGTCACATGACACCAATGGGCCACTTGCCACCCTTCAGCCACTCTGGACATATGCTCCCAACTCCCACCCCCATTCATCCCTCTTCCAGCATCTCATTTGGGCATCCACATCCATCCAGTATGGTCACAGCTATGGGATAGAGTTTAATGACTCTCACAGACTTCCAGCATTGCCTAAGATGACAGGAAGGAAAGACTTTGCCCGGGGAAAGAGAATATAAGGAAGAAAGAAAAGAAAAGTAAAAGGGGATCTTGTTCCAGTAGAATTCAACGCCTAGTGCTAAATGGAAACTTTGCAATGATGGGTCTTCTGCAGAAATGCTTAATGGTGCCTGTTATGCACTTTGCTCCCTCAGGTAAAAAAGGAGAAAGAGGAACTCATCTGTTTGATACGATACCTGCTTGCCCCAGTGGAAAGGAAGGGGTGGCCAAAGTGCTGAAAGAAACTAGAGCCAACTTTCCTTTCTCTTTGTTCATTACTGTGAATATTGTAAAGAGATTAGCCATCTCCTGAAGCAGAGGAAGTACAGTAGTAGCCACCCCTTGCTGGATTTCTACCATGGATTGTGTTTTGTGGGGAGGAAAAATGGACAACTTTATTAAAAAAAAAAATCTACTTTTTAAGAAACCAGTCACACACACACACACAAAAATAAGTATTTATTTTGCTCTTGTGGTCCAGAAAGAGCTTCAAAACTCTTGCATGAATTTATGGATCTTTTATTTTATTTTTATTTTGTTTAAAGAAACATGCAACCTAGTAGAAAACAGTTTTTCTAATTATTATTTTTATTGCTTAACCACCACATTTTTGTTTTTCTTCATTGCTGTTAGATTTTTTTTTTTTTTTAAAGAAATCTACTAGGAAGGGGATGTGTGTGAGAGAGGGAAGCGCTTGGCTTTAACATTGGTTACAATGGTCTCAGGCATGGATTATTCAGACATAATTTCTGCAGTCTCTTTCTCAGTGTGAATATCTTGATGTAAAAGTGCGGCATTCTACAAGAGAGCAGATACACTGGACAAATGGCTAAAAGGTTTTCCATAGGGAACAATCTTGCTGTGGCTGAAGAATAAAATAAAGGGAATCTGGATGTCTTTCTCATCATACTTCTTTTAAGAATGTGTGTGGACAGCTAGTGGGTTGATACAGGGCATTCCCACCTCAAACCATTTAGCCTGTCTCAAGGGCTTCTTCTTTGCTCTTTTGATTGCAAGTCAGCATAGACCACCAAGTAGCTTCTCATAACTTATTTCACTGTCTTAGCCTAGTATCTGCAGCTTGTTGTCCTCTCCCCAGTTAGGCTATAGTTACTATGTCCTCAACCAATATGACTTATGACCATTCTGTTGGATAGCAGGGACATCCCAAGACATCTCTCTATTGAATGCAGAGGAACTAAATGAATCAATAGGTGGACCTTAACAATAATGTGGGGCTCCCAACTCTTCAGCTCCTTCCATGGCTCAGTCTGTTGTGTTGAAAATCTGGGTTAACATCTTGCATTAGAACTCCCAACTTCTCTTCCAAGGCATTTCTCCCATTAGGTTTATTACCCGTATTATGCACAGACAGATGAACAAGTTAATGAACTGCCATACACAGACCAACCAACTCAGTGGTGGCCATTGCAGCAGCTATATTCTATAGCAGTTGTCTTGTGCAGCTTTTCCTTTTTCCGTCTGTAAGATTGTTTAATGGGAGGTGCCAAGTATTGAATCTATGACACCTTTGACATACAAAACACCTATGCTACTAGGTAACGGTCACCCTTTCTTTAGGACAATGGTTCTTAATCTTTAAACAGAACTTTTACATTTGTAGACCAGCTCCCAAAACTTGGTTTGTAGACCAACTCCCAGAATTCCCCAGTCAACTGGCTGGCTGGGAAATTCTAGGAATCGAAGACCATATATCTTAAAGTGCCAAGGTTGAGAAACACTGCTCTAGAGGACTATATGGTTAGATTAAACACATAATTTCATTTCATGGCAGAAGGAAAACCCTTTAAGACAAACAGCTTAAAAGGAATGCTCATGGTGGTTCAGTTTAATCTGTTTTCCAAAGAAATTTCTCCAAGAGACATAAACATATAGTTCATCTCATACTATCTTATTAACATTTTGGCCAAGCAAAGATGGAATTGGCCACCTGTAGGCACAGATGTTGTGACAAATGATCTGCTTGACTTGAGGTGAAAAACAAGTAAATGAAGATCTGCAAGACAGGGGGAAACAATGATATTTTCAACTCTTCTGACAGATCAGATGTAGCAACATCAAGGGAAAGTGATCTGCTCATGGGGAAAATGGGGTATATGGTTTCCTATAGCATATATATATATATAGGTAGATAGATAGATTTGTTTTTAAAGAAAATCACAAGTGTTCAGAAACAAAGTTGTCTCCCATTCTGAAACCATACTGTACGTAAACAGCTGAAAATAAAGCTCTTGCCAGTGTGAAATGTATTCTATTGATTGTTATGATCTGATGACTTTCATGATCACAAGGTCCAATATAACATATGATGTACATATGTAGCTATATTTCTGATGAAAAAAATGACCCCAATTAACTAAGGGGATTGATAATGTAAATCGCATAAAGCTAATTCTGTGGCAAGTTTTTAATTGTATTTTTTTCATTTTTTTTTTTTCAAGTCAAGCCCAACTTGTATCTTTAACTGCAAAAGTCTGCTTAAAACAAAAATCCAAGTGTACATTGTTTCTGCTTCCTCCTAAGTCTGTAACTCAGTTTTTGGTACAAAGGACCAAGCATTCCAAGCAAATGCCTTTTCTCACTATTTTGGTTTCTGTAGGCATAATGTAGTTGCACTTTGTGAAGAAATAGAAATGACAGAATGCCCCCCCCACCAGAAAAAAAGCCCCACAAGAAACCCCTAAACCAAAACCTTAAAGAAATCCCACCTGGGATAAATATTAATTTCTGTTAGCCAAGATGCAAATTATTTACCCCTTTTCCTTGATTTGGGTGCATGTGTGTGTGTGTGTATGTGAGGAAAGGGAATTTTTAACGTATATGGTACAGTTATCCATTTTTTGTAGTAACCGGTTCAGATTCTGTGAGGGTCAGAAGTGGGTGGGAGTGTCTGGGTGAGAGAATGAGGGAGAAGATAATGCTAGGAGACAAATCCACCCAGTACCACTGCTGCCCTGTCAAAGGCGAGGCCTACTCAGGCCCTCCTTTTAGGAAGACTGAGGCTGCACATCACAAATGCTTGCTGGACCAAGTCCAAGGTTGACAAAGTGCAATAGATTGTCAGTCACTGCAGCATAAAAGAACCACAGTCAGGATTTAAATTATTTTGTAGTTTTATCAGCATAAAGATTTGGCAGTATTTTCTGGTTTTTTTTAAAAAAAATTGGCTTAATTTTTGGATTAGTGAACTAAGTTATTGTTAATTATGTACAACATGTTTATATATTGTCTGTAAAAAATGTATGCATCCCTCATATTCCTTCAAGGTGAATACTGCTAAGAATAATAATAATAATAATAAAAAAGATTACCCCCTTTTTGTGAAAGCAATTCTTGTTCTACTTCATGGATCCTGGATGCTCCTGTGCTTATTCAGGATGACCTTGCTTTCGTGATGCAGTAGCATTGGTGTAATGGAGATGGGTGTGGGGAGAAAGGTAGAATATGGAAAGTTATAGATGGAATAGAAATGGACGAAGTTCTAGAACAAGGTTAAAGTTTAAAAAAGCAGTTTATGTCTGGAAAATGTCCCTGTGCAATGAAGATACATTAAACCTTCTTCAATATAGTTCCTAAGCTGATACTCAAGAATCCAAGTTAGGGATTGTCTTGCTAACTGGCTCAGGCTGTTTTATCTTGAAGAAGGTGGATCAAAAGATCCATGGTACTAAATTGAGATGACCTAGGTAAGATGCCATCTTAAAGATTAGTGCATATTTCTGGGCTTACCATGTAGTCCCTTGGTTCTGGTGATCTTTCACCTCTGTTCTGAATGGCAGTGATTCTGGAACATTTTTTAAAAAGTGTTTTTAAAGTATTGAGAAAAATACAGTTGTAACTGTGCCTAGCAATTTTTATTGTTTCGTAAGAGGTGGAGGAGCATGGTACAGAGACGAAGGACTTCTGTGAGTGCTAGAATTTGATTTTATTATATGTGTTTAATTTATTAACTAAGTTTATAAGGTTGCCCAACTCCAACATGTGACTCCGGTCAGCATACAGCACAAAAATAAATGATAAAATAACAACGAGAACACTGCATGAGTAAAAATGTGGCACTTTACTTCCTCCAGCGCTCAGTCTAGTGTAATTAGTTAAAAATGGTTGGAAACCTATGATTGACTAGTACATATGCCTATTAACTTGAAAGAATTCTGGGGTTTAATATTTAGACAATTACTATATTCATAATAAAACATGAGTTTAAAGTTTCAAAAAATGAGATTCCAAGTCCTTTAATAAAGGAACATTGTATATAGACTAAGTAAAGAAATAATCAAGCATTTCTCCTCGCATAAGAAAACCACATACATTATAGAGTATGATTCCTCAAATCCAATGAGCCACAAACAAACAAAGCAGGCTGATTTGGAAGCCAGGGAATTTTAAAAAATGCTCTGAGAACCACCAGCCCAGGAATTGCTAGTAGCTGATTTTTGTATTAAGCCATTCGGTTATAATTTCAGTATTTTAAGATTTGTTTCTCTTTATAATTTGAGTTTCACTTGCATGGTTTCTGTCAGATATAAATTCCAGGTAGACAACCATTTTAATCTAATACATATTCTGATTAGTGTAGTTTTACATTTGCATTTTAGAACAATTCCTATTTCTCTGAAAACACACTTAGCTAACATTCAAATGCTCTAATTGTGGATTGGGTAGTAATGTAATTTAGAATTTGGCAGTTCTACCAAGAACATGAGCTTTCACAATGCAACATATTTCATCCTATTTGTGTCTATTGGATGAAATCCAAAGAAACAGGATGAGCTGGAACTTAATCACAGTCTTAAGCATTTATGGCTTTTTTGTCCTAATGGGGATTTCAGTTGTTCCAGATTTCTTTGGACTGAATCTTAAATATTGGTGATGCCAATAAGGAGGGTCCAATCTTACCTCTTGCCTCCATGGTGACTTAATCCAGTGTGTGTAAATAATTCCAGTTTTCCCAAAAGCTATTACAGAGTAGCAAGAAATCAGGTAATGATACAGACTAAGGTATATAAAGAACACACTTAGATATTTTGTAAAAAGTGCTTTCAGAGGTAGGGAACTCTAGAACAGTGTTTTTCAACCTTGACAATTTTAAGGCATGTGGACTTCAACTCCCAGAATTCCACAGCCAGCAAAGCTGGCTGTGGAATTCTGGGAGTTGAAGTCCACATGCCTTAAAATTGTCAAGGTTGAGAAACACTGCTCTAGAAGCATGTTTCTTCTCTTGGGGACTGATTTTGTTTGGGCTATTCCTCTTGAAACTTCCTACTTTCAAGTTAGCAAAACAAATGTTAGTTTTTCTCTTAGGAATAGCAAAAGTTTCTTAGCGGATAAGTTTCTTTACAGTACAATTATAACTCTATCTTCAGCAATATAACGTAATAAATTCAATGCCTTTTGCCTTTAGGAAAGTGTATATAGTAGCCTTCCCAAGGCTAGAAGTGAGGTTTGACATGCATGCCCAACTCCATTTTGGATTAATGTTTGCTAGGATGAAATTTAAGGTAGTATTTGTTCTCTAAGACACAGATCTGCTTTCATTTGGCAGTGCTATCTTCTGAAACATAGAGGCAGTAACTAAATACCAGCACAACATAATTTTCCTTCATAAACTTTACCACAACTGACATCTACCTCTAGGAATTCAAATAACTCTGAATGCTAGGTCAGGGGGGATAACTTTAAGGCAAGCTTTATTTCGTTATTATTGCATTTACAGAAAGAAAAAGAAATCCAGCTTCTCTGTCATACTAAAGTGACCAGTTCCAGCTGAAACCAATCCTAGTTACTTTGTTTTTCCTAAGAAATGTGTGGATAATGCACTGTACATATGTACACATATAGGCCTGTTTTTATCACTCTCATCCTCACATATTTACTTTTTTCCTCCTTTCAAAAGAAACAGAAAGAAGGAAAAACAAAGATAAATCAGGGAAATAAAAAATAGAGGTAGAGTCAGAGGAGAGGAGGGTAGAAAAGAAAGAAATTTCTGTATGTATTGGCTGAGTATCTGCAGAGACAGGAAGACAAAATGAAGCTTCTGCCTCATTAAAAGTAAAAAATGCTTGAAGTTCTAGTACAGAAAATATTCTTCCAGCATGAACTCTTTCACATGTTATTTTTAGGGAGATCGAATCTCCCCCTCAGTAGTGTCAACTTCGGTTCTGCAAAAGCAAGACAATTCTCCAGTTCAAAGACAATTATTGAATAAATTCTTCCATCTTCTTTTCTTTTGCATGTGAAATGGTAAGTGCTGTCAATATATCATTAGTTTTTCCTTGTTAGCACCATAGCTAGATAAATTAAATCAGCTTGCCACTATATAGACTTACCATTTTTAAAAAATCAAGCCATCTTTATACAATCTGACTTTTGTGTTTGAATATATTTCTTATTGAGGATGATTTATGATTATGTGTCATGAAGTTCTTGTTGACTCTTAGCAATCACACAGATATTCTCCGTGATATCTGTCCCTACCCGGGTCCTTCAGCTCTTCCAACTGTGCTCTTATAGGTACTATAACAGAGTCCATCCACCTCTTCTCTTTTTTTCAACTTTCCTAGTGTATAGGGCCTTCTCCGGAAAGCTAGTTCATGGTATAATGTATCCAAATAGGATAGTTTGAACCTGGTCATTTGCATCTCAAGTGAAAACTCTAGATAGGTTTATTTGATGGCACATTGATTTGTTTTCTTGGACAGCAAGACAATTTGTCAGCAGGAATCTGCATTGCTTTCTTATTGATTCGAGGTGGATAATTTTATTTATTTATATTCATACACTGCTTTTCTGCATTTAAAAGAGGCAAGGATGAAAAATACAAGACTACAGTAAAATTAAACATCAAACACTTTGCAAACAGCTGATAAAACTAAGCAGTCTGGAGATAAGGTTCATAAACTGAGAGAGAGTATAAAGGCTGGAAAGAAAGAGAAACAGGTTTTTGCTCATTATCTCAAAGGTATAATAAAAGGTAGATTCTCACTTGAGACAAACTTGACTCCTGATAACTTTGTTTTCCTAGCAATGCTATCCAAGTGATTTGCCATTTACACTCTCTGAATGTTTTATCTATTTTCTAATTTAGAGCAAATCCAGTCTCTTTTTCTCTTTTGGGGGAGGGAATTTGGCTATGCTTGAGCAATATTATATCTGTTTTGTTCTTATCAGAGTCACTTCATAGCCAACGGTGGCAATTAAAATATTGAAATATTGAGTCAGAAGGATGGAGAAGGCCTCACATCATCAGTCTTAGGCCAAAAGGAATGGATCCAAAGAAGGGTTGTGTGAAAGTATTCTACAAGGAGGAAGAGGTGGAACTGATTATGCCTTGTGAAGAGAAAACTGAGATTCTACATCAGACATGTCAAACTTGCGATGTCACGTGACGTCGCACAACATATCAGGCTGGTTTTGCCATTGCTGGCAATGGGGTGGGCGCGGCTTCCATGTGAAGCATCTGGCCCGCGGGCCGGCAGTTTCACACCCCTGTTCTATATGATGGTAATTTTCAAGCATTTTTTCACAGTTCGTCCCTAAGTCACACTGAAGCAAAACTATGACCAGTTTTCTATCATTTTCTATCATTTATAGAGCCGAGGTGGTGCAGCAGTTAGAGTGCAGTACTGCAGGCCACTTTAGCTGACTGTGTTCAGCAGGTCAGCGGTTCAAATCTCACCGGCTCAAGGTTGACTCAGCCTTCCATCCTTCCGGGTAGGTAAAATGAGGACCCAGATTGTTGGGGGCAATGTAAATATATATATACATTGCTTACTGGTGTACACCGCTTAGAGAGTGCTTGCACTTAAAGCGGTATATAAGTCTCATAAATAAATAAATAAATAAATAAATAAATAAATAAATAAGTAAATAAGTAAATAAATAAATAAATTTGATCATTGTGAGCTGCCCAGAGTTGTTGAAAGTTTAATGCATTCTTATTATCTCTAATGTACTACTGTAATGATAATCTTAGGTTACATGAAGGCAGGGTCTGGTTGAGTGTTTAAAAAAAATTAAGTGGCAAGTGCAAAACACTAAGAGTAGTTCAACAGTGGAACTAATTATGAAGGGTTGTTTTTAAACCAAAGTTGGATTATCATCTGTAAGAGACCGTTTACCACAGGTAGTCCTCAACTTACGACCATTCATTTAGTGATCGTTCTCAGTTACAATGGCGCTGAAAAAAGTCACCTATGCCCACTTACAATTTTTGCAGCATCCTCACGTTCATGTGATTAAAATTCAAGCACTTTGCAAGTAGCATGCATTAATGACAGCTGCACTCTCCCAGGGTCATGTGTAATTGCTCCAGCTGGATTCAATG